GTCCTCTCTCTGTTGAATGTCAAAATCATTACCCAATATGTAGTGTTAGGCTTTGACACTTATCATGGTGCGAGCAAATTCAGAAATTTCATAGTGGAGAAAAAAACCTTAAAAATTTCATATCGTATTTTGGAATGGAGACCTTTTAAGCTCCTGAGCTCTCTCAGAATAGCATTTTCACTTTTTTCGTTTGGTTTTGCTGAAACCTTTAGCAATGAACGATACTTGACCAAAGCTTCTATGGTCGAAATTTCAACTTAAAATATCAAGATTTTCTCGAGTTACAATGGTGTCGGAGTACATAACTATAGGGTTTATCTATCTTGGATTTCTCTTCATTACACTGAGTAATAACTATTTCTAAAAGTCACTGTTCAAAATACTATCTAGCACAAAGAACTATTTCTGATGAAATTTAGTAAAAAAACAATGATACAGATGTGAAGGTGTGGATATTACAGAAGATATTCATTTAAATAATACCTTCACAATTGGAGGTGGCAAGGGAGATCTAACAATTTGATTTTTTTGAAGAAACTCAACTTTTTGGAAGTAGTCGGTTTCAAAGAAAATCACTGAACATTTGAGTTACAGGTTATGAGTAAACAAGAATATCTTTCATTTCGTTTTCCTGTCGTCAGACGATTCTTGAAAAAGGTTTACAATTTAAGCATTATCGGATTAATTAATATTGACTCAAAAATTATAGAAGATGCGAGTATGGGCTTGGTCGATGTAGATGCCAGTTTAAGAGAAAACGCACACCCACTCAAACTACCCGCCAAAACTCACATCTAAAATAAACAAACTGATATTTTTGAAAATTAATAATTGTCTTTCATTCGCTATGCAATAAAGGTAAGTGTCGAATAACAAGTCTTTTGTCTTTCTATATTCGCATTTATACCGCTCGAGAAACTTCAACTTATTTTTACAATTTTTTCGATAATAAATCTTCAATGAATAGAAGAAAAGGAGACCGCCGACCGACAAGCAGGTCATATAACACTGGAAGATCTTTCCATCGTTAATTGGCCAATCTTTAGTAGTCTATGCTGATGAGATATTCGAACGCATATGCTTCAGATGATGAGTCAGATTTAGAGAACAGTCTCTTGGTCGGACCGACAAAAGTGAGTCATATGTTCGAGAGACCATATTACCATTATTGTTTGAGCAATAGTATCATTTTGTGTATTTCTTGATGGCTTTTTGATCATGAAGTATATTGTGTGATTCATACATGAGCGGGTAATTTTTGCGCAATCTTTATTCTCTTGTAAATGAATATTATCTTTACATGGGTAAACGATACGACTGTTTTGATAAGAAATCCATGTTTTTTTCATTGGTTTTCATTAAGAAGCTAAAGTATAGAATAACGACGGTATCCAAGCAATGCAATTGCTGCCATCATCATACGATAGCAATTCTCATTTCTTTATCTATGTTTATACAAATATGCACAAAAAAAGAGAATTCGAGAGAAAATAAATTATTTCGTCTTTCAACAAAATAATGGAGCAATTCATCGCCAATTTAATCGCACTCACGGCGACACCATCATTGCACAACAGCGTAAGAATTCATCTTTGAAAATATCACATGCATTGATACGTTATTTTTGCTTCAAATTAGGAATCTTTGTTATTAAAGCAACGGCTTAGAACTAACATGACGTACTAAACTGCTTAATAGCGTCTTTCAATTTAAGATAAAATGACTCTTTATAGTGATGGTAATTGATGTTTGGAGTCTTATCACAACATCCATTCGTGTTCTCGGTTGTTCAATCAGACATTTAGGTTCTGATCGAAAGCATGGTCATGTACAAATGAAGGTGATGCATTTTTAAGTGTGCGTTGAGGATGATGACAGCAATCTTTTTGTCATTTCTGTTGCATTAAATTTCCGATGATTACTAAAAAATGTAACTAGAACAAATAACGCAAGAGAAACCTTCAACGAGATTTCTTCTCGTTTTCCGATGGAAAGAAGTGATAAAATTTATGAAACATTATATGAGATTAGAATGAAGGATATGAGTGCTAAAACTTCTCTCCTACACCCACATTCATATAAGCAAGTCATTGATCGATATCTTCGTCACTGAACACATTTTATATGTAAATTTTCAGTATTGCTATTCGCAAAGCAAGAAACAAATGTAAGTTTTTTGTTAAGTCGATGTGCTTATGTCTGAGTTTTTTTTCTTGTTCTGTTACCTGAGTGGGCATGCATTCATATGCTTTTTAGATGAGAAAAAAAAATCCTACGTTTTCCGTTCTGTAAGTAATTTCGAAATAGTAATTTCACAACAATAAATAATAGTATATTATTTGCTTGACTCTCAAGTTTTGCTGTCATTCGTCTTCTGCATTATGTCGAAAGAAGTAGAAGAAAAAACTGAAGCAATTGGTTCGATGTGTATTATTCTTCATCGTGAACGAAGTTTTCACAATGTCGATACTCGAACATTAAAAAGTGCCATACAAAAATATGCTCGTCGAGCAATGTTCTTTCCTAAGGGTGTATGGTGTCTAATTGAACTAGATCTTTTTTCTTATCTTGAAATAAAACCTGATCTTTATCCAAATAATAAATTAACACGAAAACAAATACAACAAAATTCAGTTCGTATTCGTTCAAATATGATTAATCGTCTTATAGCAATGATGAGTGAAGATGTAGGCCCATGTAATAGTCATTTACCAAGTAAAATGCATAATTTTTATTTACAATGGATTAAATCTCGTCGAGAGATATCAAGTCGAAAAATACTTATTCAAATGTATCATTGTTTAGCTAATGAAAATATTAAACGAATTCGATTATTGAGTGATCTTAAAACAGTATATAATCTACCTGAATGTCCAATGAATACTGATAAGTTACATCGTCAATTATTAGAGAAATTCGAAATGAAACAATTAATTAAAATTATGTATGAAGATGAATGTCGAGGAAAAAAGGTTAAGTTTTGTTTCTTCACTTTCTTTTCATTTTTATTTTTAATTATTTCTTGAAGAAACAAGAACTTTATGAACTTATTACTGAACATCTTTCGACTAAATCTGAACTTGCATTTGCTTATCTATCAGTTTTATTGAAAAGAAATGATCAAACATTAATTAATCAACAACTTTGGCCATATCTTATCCGTACATCACCGTTTCCAGATAGTACTCAAGCACTTGCTTTCTTTTATAAAACATTAAAACATAAAGAACATTACCTATATTTATATCATGCCATGGCATTTGTTATTTATGAAGATACTATACGAAAAATAGATCAACAAACAAATGATTTATTGGACATTAATGTTGATCAATTATATAAAGATCATTTAAATGAAGAAACAAAAATAGAATTAGATTCATTTGTATTCGATCGACATACAGGTGCAGCAACATCAAGAAGTGATTTTGCTTTGGAAGGTGCTCAAGTAGCTAATGAATGCAAAGAATTATTTATAGATAAATATCGACAAATGTATAATAATTTCAAAATTATGATGGATAATGAAGAAGACAAAAAATCAATAACAAAAACAAAAAGAAAAATAAAAGAATCACAAGAAGAAAATACGACTATGAAAAAAATTAAAGTAAAAAAAAAATAATATTTTATTTTAAATTAAATCTAAATATCTCTTTCTATTTACAGTTAAATACACATGAACAAATAATAAATGTTGACATAGATAATGAAATAATTCGTTTAGATTATCATATTGATATAAAACCAATATCATTTGTTTCTGACGAATTATCAAAGCTTGCTCATGGTCAACGTCGAACAAGTGCTCATAAAAAAGCCGTATTCATCTCGTCAGATTATGTTTATAAAGGTCCATATTTAGCAAGTTCACATGGTGATAGAAAAAAATTATTACATAATTTATATTTCACTCGTGCTTTACTTACACTTGAACAATATTTAAAAATACCAGATCATCTCCGATCAATCATAGATTGGCATTCAGTAATCAAAATTGATAATACCAATGAATATTATTTACAACAAAAATCTTTAGGAAAATTATCTACATCAGAAAATGATCATGAAACAGTAACAACAAAAATAGAAACAAATATTAAAATACTTCGACGTGGTTCACATATTAATCGTCTAATTGAACTAGAAAAGGATGAATCTAATTTTCAAGATGATAAAAAATATATTTGTCAAGCATGTTTACAACATTTTTATTTACGTTATATACTTAATATTGGAGATTCAGGAACATGGAATATACTTGTACGACGAGATCAAAATCAAGGAATATGTGGAATTGATTTTGAAGAAATTCGATCAGAAAAAATAAAGAAAATTAATGATCCTTTGACAATAATTATGAGTAAAGTATCTAAACGACAGCAAGATCTTTATGGATCATTTATAAATGATATCGTTATATTCAAAAACAAAATTGATCCTTCTGATGAATTAGCAAAGACATTATCAACATCGTTTAAAATTGATATTGACAACATGAATGAACGTATTGAAAAATATGCTAATTGTATTTCAAAAAAAAATAATTAACTAAATAAAATATTTTTTTTAGTCATGATAAGAAAGTCGTTTAAGTGCTTGTCTTTTTTTTTTCGATTAATATCATTCAAGTTGAAAAACTTTCACCATTTTGTTATACGCATTTTGCATGATTTTCATTGTTTGTGTGAAATCTAATCTCTCAAAAAAAAAAGAAAGAATCGACAAAGAAAAACACTAGGATTGGAGAGAAAACCGGTGAATTATGTTCCTCTGTTAGTATAGATACTATTCATGTCATAAGCATTTCATATTCGCAGTAAGCCACTAACTATGCACCTTTCGTATATGCAAGGATCAATTTACTAGGTATCTCTGTCTATCTATCGATCAAGATCAATGAATTAAACAAAAAAAAAATTAGAATTAAGAAACAAAATGATGTATAGTATTGAATGTCTTTATTCGTTTATAAAAGGCTTGAATCAAAAAAACAAAGTTCAAGTACAATTAAATCTCATCATTGCATATACGAATTGTTGTTTGAACGGACGAAAGAGTGTATTGATTTCATCCCATGATTTCCATGTTGGATTTGACCAATCAGCATTAAGAGCTTGACGTAAACCACCGATAAATTTAGTTGAATCATGCGTTCTCTTATTTAAAAACGCAGCTGTATGCGGTGCAGCATTAAAAAGTGGTGTATACTTTTCATCTAATTGAAGTTCTTGAAGATTTTCTTGCATTACATCAACAAGTGAAGGCGATGAAGATGCACAATTTGATAATTTTTCAAGAACTTTATCGAAAGGAGTTCGTACTAATTGAATAAAAAGTCAAATTTTAATTATGTTGCAAGAGAAAAACGATGGCATACTAACTATTTGGAGTCTTCTTTCCTTTTGTTGTTGCAGTTCGCTCATTTGTGTCTTTCTTATGTACTTTACTCTTGTCTTTTGTTTTTGTACCATCACCAGTATTCTTCTTGAATTCTTTGCTTTTATCTTTCGGTTTTGCAGCATTGCTACCAGTGTTTTTTGTTGATTTGCTTGTGACGCTTGATGCCACATGAATGTAGCATATCTAAGTAGTAATTTTGCAACAAGTTTTATACATAAAGAATCCAACTTTTTACTCACTAGCAAGCACAAAGCAAAGAAGAAAATCAATTTCATCGTGTAGTTCTTTTGTACTGACAATGAATACGTTACTCAGTACTCCTAACAGCTAAGCTAGAAAAATAACAGAATAAATGTTGGCAAACACTGGCTTTCTAATAAACGAATGCAGAAAGTGCGTGACGTTCACCAGTAAATATTTTATTTGAGAACAGATGCACGTGTTTGAGCAAAAAATTTTAAAAAAAATAATCTCTGACTATATTCTACACTGACATAAAATACAGAACATGTTATATGAATTTTTTCTCTATTTCTTTTTATTTGACTAGTGTCCTTGAAGTAAAATAGAAAATATCACCAACAAACAAATAATCTTTGTTGTTCATAAAAAGTAATTTCTTAGAAAAATAATGATACAGTGACAAAGACGGTTTCGTTTCACACACGTATTTCTTATCATAGGGGCTTCTATAAATAACAGTATTAAACTGACATCAACATTTAAATGCATTCATGTATTAGACAACTCTTGACAGGACTAAAAGAGAATACATCGAGATGTAAAGTATTAACGTATAATCTCTACTATTGCTCCAGAACTTTGATAAGAGATAAATTTTATAAATTGAATGATATACTATTAGAAAGAGTTTTCTTCGAAATAATAATCGATTACTTAGAGTGAAGTTTTAATTTAAGAGTTATAGGTTTTTTCTAATAAATCTTTTGTTAGTAGATTTTTTTTTCTAATATATGAGATTCCAGCTAATGATACTCATCGTAAAAAATGTTTTTCTATTGCTGATCCTAAGAAAACTCAATGATAATCTGTTAAAATGAGAAACTTTGCTTATGTCTCTACAAACAAATACAATTTGGTCAATTAATCTCATTTTCTTGTTTAATAAGATATTTTTCAAAAGTTATTTCAAACTAATTTAGTAGTTGCAGAAGATTCAACATATTTTTCTATAAACAATATATCCCTCGGAACAAATAGCACACATACTGATCTTGCGCTTATGTAGAAATCTTTTTTCTTGTTGGTTTCTAAATATTTATCTTGCCGAGTCAGCATATAAAAATCATGGGCAAAAAAGTTATGAATACTGGAAGAAAAAAAAAGAAACATACTGTATACGATGACATAAAATGTTAATGGATTATCATCGGCTGATAGCATTATAGAGACATCCAGTAATAAAATAATAATAAAAATTATTTCAATTCACATTCAACCCGTGAATAATATTATAATAGATAATCATTTGTATTTTGGGTGATCAGAGCTAAAGAAAGTATTTCTACATCTGAACCTAAACATTATTTTTCAAAAATCGCTTTAACATCAAGTCTATTTGATCAGTAGTTCATGCTTTCTTGTCCAAATTTTTGCCGATTGCGCATAGAGTATCGGCTTCATGTTAAAAAAGAACTGAGAGTGATGAGTGTAGTCACGAATCAATGCGTAACATCATTTGGATGATACGTAAAAGCCACGGGTCAAAATATATGAGCAAAAGATTTAAATAATAGGATGAGAAAGATCTATATCTAAGGAAAACAAAAATATTACTTTCTTTATTGTATGACATACGTTTTTGTATATTTTTTTAGTAAAAGTTCGGGTATTTTTTTCAAGTTATCCAACTACTATCACATATTTAACAATAACAATCGATTTAATTATGAAAATTTTCTTATAGAACACGTAAATGAATGTTTAATTTGAGCAATATTAAAATATCACTATACATACTGAAAAATATGTATATTTTATTGTAGACTGGAAAATAGATAGAATTCAATAATATTATCTCGATATCAAATAAATACTTGATTGTCTTTCTGATTGTTTTCGAATAATTTATTTCTTTTCCTTTCTTGAATGTAATAACATAAGTATCTAGAAACTAGATTATAAAATATACAAAATCGCCTAGAACAATACTTGTCAATTTCGTAATATTCAGTATTAATACAATAGTTTTATATGGATTCAATGACTCTATAGTATCATTGCTGCATAAACAGTTATTAAACATGTGTTCGAAAAGCTAAATATTGTGTATCAAATGAGTATTTGTTTGCTTTTTTTGTTATTTAATTATAAAATAAATATAGTATACAGTTTCTGAAAGAAATGTTAATTTCGCAGCAAATACTAGAAGTCATTACACATTTGATAAATCTTTAGATATCTAATATTAAATTTACTTAAAGTTTTTCCGTTAGTCGAATAAAATTGAAATCCGAAATCATTAATTTCATTTCCAATACACGTTAAATAATAATAATTCAAATATTTCAACTATTGAAATATCTGTACAATTTTTTTTTTTTCATAAAAATGTCAACAGAAATCAAAAAGAATGAACTGTCATTTGTGAATTCTTTTTCCTTCAGATAAACACTCTTTACTGTTGCCGTTTTCATTAGTTTACGTAAAGTAAAAATAACAATTCTGCACTGTCAGCAAAATTGTTGTATAATTAAAATTTCATAAGTCACCTGACAGGTTTTGTTCTTGTCAAACTGTTCACATCTTCTATGCATAATCAACAATCCTGATGTTGCCTTTTTTAATTGAATTTTTTGTTTATTATTCTTAATATTTTAATGCATTCGCAAAAGCACTAGATTGCATTCGTTTGTGCATTGATCAAATAAAAATAGTGACAATGATTGACTATAAAGGAATCATAAAGTTTAATGTTTTAACAATCAATTACGCAGTTTAAAAAAAAACTTACTGTTGACACTAAATAGTCCTTTAAATAAAACAAGCATGCGTCCATATTTTTTTTTCATCCACAAATGAATTTATATTCTATATCTCATTTTATAAACTTTTTTTTAAATTTTACTAGTTTATATAAATTTCAAAAGAATATTTTAGATAAAAGTTGAATTTATAAGAATATAAAAAAGGAAAAGACAAGTCAATATGGTTGATTCAAGCACTGTATTGAAAAACAACAATAACAAAAACAAAGATCGTCCGGAATTACTTCCTCTGGATCCATCTATGTTATTGACAACAGAATCTATTTCTATTGATACACGTTCTTTTCGTATTATGCAAGACAATCATGAAAGTATCATCTTTATTTGGTTTGATCCTCAAGAACAATCAGGTCTCAATCTTGTTGGACCACTTCGAGCAATTAATCATCATGTACAAGCTTTTATTGATTTATCATCCTGTATTAATGCAATAAAAACTTCCAATGAAAAAATCTTTTTTATTACATCATCAAGTGATAGTGAACTGATTGCAACAGTTCATAAGCTTGCATCGGTTGAAGCCATTTTCATACTTACTTCAAATATCGAAAGTATTAAAGGTGATTTTCCAAAACTCTGTGGCATATATTTTCAACAAGAAGAATTATTTCGTGAATTAAAAGAAATATTGGATGTTTTTGAACAAATACAACTTGAGTCATTTGCATTTGAACACGAGAAAGCATTTCTTTGGTCACAATTATGGAAAGAAGAAGTAAGTAAGAAAAATCATTGATTCAAGTAGTATGTTTTATCGTTTTCAATATTAATAAAAAGAAAGTTTCTTCTTCATTTAGTTAATAAATCGAAAAACGTTATCCAAGAAGAATATCTTTATTGAAGCAACTCGACATTATTATCGAGATAATGTAATGATACTTCGAATTATTGAAGAATTTGATAAATCTTACCGACCTACCGAAATCATGAATTGGTGTTTTCGATCTCCGTTTCCCTCACGTTTTCTTCATCATGCACTTCGCTCAAACAATAAAGAACAACTTTATGTTTGCCGTCCTCTATTTGTTGATGCTTCTCGTTTTTTTAATCAACAACGTCAACATAAATCTAGCGATAAATTATATCGAGGTATGAAACTGTCAAATGAACTTCTCGATAAATTTAAAGCTCATGTTGGTCAACTGGTATGCACAAGTGGATTTTTTCCTTGTATCAAATCGAGAGCGAATGCTTTGACACTTGCCACGTTACCAGCATATCGTACTGATTTATTACCAGTTTTATTTAAAATTGATTGTGATGCATCCACTCCATGTATCGAAGTAGTTAATAAAAATTCTTCACCATTAATGGTATTTGATATATGTACGGCATTTCATATTATTTATGTTAATCGAGATCAAATTACGATTATCAAAATGAAAACAGCTGGTCAGATAGGAAAGAAAATCGCTTGCGATTATATAGAACAACATAAAGATGAAATAGTACAAACACTTCTTGATGAACTTATGAAACCACCAATGCGTCAAAAACCGGGCACTCTTCCTCCACTACGACCAAGATCAAGACCTACATCAAGTCAAAAAAAGTATGATTATTCGCAAAATAAAAGATTTTATGAAGTACAATCTAAAAAAAATGTTGAAGAACGTAGGCTAAAAATTTGAACGAACGTTCTTCACAGACTGTGATGGCTACCTTGATGATTCTGTCATTTAGGATGCAAATAAGAGTTATATTGTATTCCACATTTGAATGTTGCAGGAATTGCCCTAGTAGCTTTTTTTTTCGTTGCACGAAATCGAATTGATTTATCTGATTTTGTGTTTTCTAGAGATTCGAATTTAACTGCCGAAGAAATAAAGGCACAAAAATGTGTTGAAAAAGGAGATATCGATCGGGCTCTAGCTATTTATCAACGCATTCGGCCTGTTACCGCACGTGTACTGAACGCTATGGGTCAATTATGTGCTGAGAAAAAAGAAGATTATAATTATGCTTTGCAATGTCATACAAAAGCACTCAAAATGCAAGAAGAGGTAAATTATTTATATGAATAATACATTTTCTTGTTCTTAAGTATGATTAGTATTATTCAACAAAACTTCTTCTTTTTTGTCATAGGCCGGTGAAGATATTGGTGATACTTTAACTGATCTTGGAAATGTATATCACAATTGTCATGAATATGATTTAGCCCTAAGTTGTCATACACGTGCGCTTGCATTGCGTCAATCTAATCAATCACCTGATGATGCTGCTATTGCATCGAATCTCATTGGTATTGCTAATACTCATTGGGCTCGTCAGGAATATCCTGAAGCGATCGATTATGCACAACGAGCCTTGGCCTTGAGAGAACGTATTGTACCTCCGAATAAAGTAAGTATAGCCGCAACTCTTGCTATGTTGGGAAACATTTATCAAGATTGTGGTAATATTGCTCTTGCTCTTGATCTATGTAAAAAAGCACTCGCCATGTTTGAAAGTACATATTTACCGAATCCATCAATATTAGCTGAATTACATTATAGCTTGGGCACTATGCAGTTAAGTGCAGGATCTTTGGATGAGGCTTATCATAATCTTGAAAATGTAGCAAAAGTTTATCGACAAATTTTTCCACAAGGGCATCCAGATCGTATAGCAACGGAAAATGATCTTCAGCATGTTATTACATTACGTCAGAAGAGCAATAAAGATTCATAAAAGAACGCTTAAATTGATTGTTTTGTTTACTGAAAATCGATTTGCAATTTGAATTATCGATAGAAGTAATTTATGTTTGATCAATGTATAAAGTATTTGTTTTGCTTGAATCATGAATTTTATCTTTATATATTAAAATGTTTGCATGTTTTTTTATTTTTATTTTTTTATAACAACAAAATGTCTTTTACTAAAACAATAAAGATTTCATTTGCATGTAGTATGTGTTAATCAGTGATTCTTTTCAATGATTTGAATATATTTGATACGAATAATAGTACATAAGATAATGAGTGAAGCTGATCGAAATGTTGATGAACAGTAAAGAATGAAAAATATGATGTAATTTTTCTCTAGTGCTTTTAGTTTTTCATTTCTTTATTGACTATTGCTAGAATCCGTATCATTCTAAAAAAATGAACAAATCAATTTATTAAGTCATCATGTATTGTCAGACTATTTTTCATTATATATCACTTATATATTTCCAAATGATGACTGCAGAACCATGTAGAAAATCATGCACTAGAAAGTCACTATTAGCATTGAAATATTCTATTTCAAAGGTGATCGTGATTTTTTCCATTAAAAGTCCCGCAAATCCACAGTACTTTTCGTAATGTAAACCAACTTGACAAGACGAAATGTATCTCAATCAAAGTATACTTTTGTTCTAAAACGTTATCATCACAACTCAATTCTTGAAATGTAATGGCGAATGTA